AATTTATTACTTATTAATAAAGTTGTTTATTTGTTATGAAATTAATTTTTTATTAATTTGTTTTTTTGCATTTATTAAAGGTCTTGGCGATTACTTCGGGAACGACATATGCCTCAGCTTAAGGCTCGACCGGATTGGGTTGATGTTCCAGGAGTACCCCAACAAGAAGGGAATGTTGATTGTGGTTATTATACAATGCGATATTGTTGGCTCATCGTCAATATCTGTGCGAAATGTTCAGTACCATTATTCGAGGTAAGTTTGTTTTAGTGTTTACGAAAGTAGTGAAGTGTAGGGTAATAATTATTGAACTTTATGTCGTATGTTGTTTGATTTTGCAGGTATTTCAGTCTACTTTGCCTTATACTAGAGCCGAGTTAGAGGAAATTAGAGAGTTTTGGGCCGGGGGTTTTCTCGATGAACTTGTGTAAGTTAGTAGAGTACAATGTAGTTTAAGGATTTAGTTGTATTGTTAAAACTTTGAAGAGTACGTAGTAGTTTTACTCTTATATTGTTTAAGATATTCAAGTGGTTTAATTCATTTTGTGACATTTGATTTGATTTTTGTGAAAACATTTGTATTAGTTACTTTTGTGTTGATGGGCTGAATTTTCTGCATTGTTGTATTCCATTATATCGTTAACAATCAAAATTAATCTTGAAAATTTAAAGCCTTTTTGAATCGGTTATTTTAAATAACCGATTCAAAAGCTAATCTTTTGCATCGGTTATTACTAAAAAACCGATTCAAATGCCCCTACCCAGAAATGGCGCCATATTTGGGTAGGAGCATTTGAATCAGTTATTTGTAATAACCGATTCAAAAGATTAGCTATTGAATCGGTTATAACAAATAACCGATTCAAATGCCCCTACCCAAATATGGCGCCATTTCTGGGTAGGGGCATTTGAATCGGTTATTTAGTAATAACCGTTGCAAAAAGCCATTTTTCAGAACTGGCGGTAATTTTTTTAAAGGGTTTTTGCATCGGTTTTAGCAACCGATGCAAAACGTATCGGAGTATTTGCATCGCTGGCTTTTGCATCGGTTGGAAACCGATTTAAAAGGGTCCAAATAACCGATTTAAAAAGTCATTTTTGTACTAGTGAATTAAGCTTAGTGATGTTAAAAGTTTTCGATCTATGGTCAAAAATTAGTTTGGGAAGTTTATCTATAGATAATACGGATTAATTATGATTCACAACTGATGAGGTGCCGTAGGGGGGCACTTGATTTTAGAAGTTGATGATCTAAATGTCTACCACTGCCTAGGGGCTAGCTCTTCATCGATAAGTCGACCGGGGGGTCATGTGCCGCGACAGGCCTCCTCCCTCTACCCTTGGTTGTGAATATGTCAATCATAAGTTTGGACTCTTTAATTTCTTCAATAGCTAGTGGTTCTCCATCACAAGTCATGTCCATATACACTAGAACAATTGAGGTAGTTGAGCGCTAACATATGCATCTAATTGAAAGACTCTTAACTCTTCTAGGTAAATGCTTTAGCTACTACAAATTATCACATAAACTTTCTGCCCAATTCCCATTTAAGAAGATATAATTGACATCAAGCTAATGGGCCTCCCATTGTTTGACATTAAGTCAATAATGTTTGTCATGATAAAAAGGATGGACCCTGTCCTTGAAGTCCTTTTAGAACCGATTGAACATTCACCTGAGAGGAAGTAAATATTGAACTTTAATCATAGATTAATTGCAAAAAGTGAAGTCTGTACTTTGGACTTATAGAGACATTATGTTTAACATATTACCTCATAATGTAGTTGTCATAAATCGAGCTTGGCTGTACTCCCTTAACACCCCAATGCCCACCGCTAATTACGTTTATTATGATAAATCACATGCCATGTTTTCAACTAAGTAGTGAATTTTGAACTTTTGACTTATTGGTATATAAAATTTTGATATCATGTTAAGAAACTAAGTCAATCCAAACTCAAGCTTGTAGTTATAGATACACAAAAATGTTTTGTATTATAACACTTGGTTGTTATTAGTCCTTGTTTTAATTTGGGCCCCGTACTAACCGCGAGACCATCCAGATAGCGTGCCACGTGGTGGGTCGTAATTTACGCACTTGAAGAATGTACAATAACACTTGGGTAGTGAATGATCACTTTCATCGTCGCAATGAATTAAGATGCCATTTAGTGAGTCCGTAAAATAAAAGTTCAATCAGATTGAACAAATTATAGAAACATGACAAGACACGTTTAATAATATTGGGTAATATCATCACCACTTCGGTACCAAAATGACCATGTATGGTCTGCATCAAATGCTCATCAAATCCTAGTCTTTGTTAACAATCACCAAACACAACCAATTTTGAAACTATATGACTCTTATCCACACAAAAAAGACAACCATTTCAAATTCAAAGATAAAAGAACAACTTGTTTGTCATTTTACAAATTACAACTCAATAAATGAGAGCACTCAATGGAGTTGTTTGGCATGGTTGAGTGAGGTTAAAATAATGGGGTTGGGGATGACACAACTTCCCACCAACACAAACTAACCACACGGCTAAACCCAACGTCCAAAAACACACAATTTAGGAAGCTGCTAATTCTAGAATTTCCCATTTGTTCATTAACCTCGCCGTCAACGGATAAGGATTCACACCGTTTCCGTCAAGTCGGCGTCTCCCACCCATTGCGTCAACCACCTTCTTCCTGATGTGACCATGTGGTCACCCGTCTCTCCCAACTTTTATTTCCCTTTTTTTCCTTTTGTTGACCACTTTAATTTTCTTTTCTAAATTTTAATTTGTAATTATAAAGAAAGAAAAATTTAATTTAATTGTGTAAATAATGAAGATAATATTTATTCCTGAAAAATTAATTACTTTCATATTTTAATAATTTACATGACTTTATAATGCTAACTATTTTTTTTATTCAGGAGACATCTTTTTAATAAATTGTGACATTGAATTATTATTATTATTTTATTGAGATAATAACAATAAATATATACGAAAGTAAACCTAATATGTCAAGAAACCAACTCAACCAAAAGCTCAAGCTTGTGGTTGTGGCCCATTAAGATTTATTTATATTCTAACACGCTCTCTCACGTGCAGACATAGTCTTTTTTGAGTCTTACACCTGAAACTTTAATTTTCTTAAAATTGGGTGGCACTGAGTTTTGGATCCATGACCTCTTGGTTAACAAGGTTCCGTTACCATGATAAAGAACCAACTCAACCAAAAATTCAAGCTTGTGGTTGTGGCACAAGAAAAATTATTTATTTTCTAACATAATACTTTTATAGTCATCATTAAAAAGAATTAGAAGAAATTAAAAAGTTAAAAAAAGTTAGAAGTTAACGTAAAAAAAACAGACCATTATTATGACTATGATTGCCTACTAGTTTAACTTTTTAGTTGAGCACTCCATCTCTCAATTCTCTTCCATGCCTTTCTTCCGGTTTTGATTTGTATGGTAAACATTTTTAAAATATGACCATAAATTAAGGAAAAGAAATACTTCATATTAAATTGTTATATACTCCACCCGTTTCTTAAAATCCTTCATCTTTTATTTTTTTTTAAAACACTTCCCTTTTTTATTAAAAAACCACTTTTACCCCTACTTTTTCATACCATACCTATCACATCATACTTTTTCACTAACAACTAAACTATCACATCTTACTTTTACCCATCACATCAAGGGCAAAATTGGAAAGTCAACTACAATTTAACACTTCCTTATTTTCCCTCAAAGTCAAAAGAGGATCTCTTTTGAGAAACGGAGGTAGTAAGTTTTAATTTTAATAAATATTACTCTTATAACATTATTAAAAAACAGTGAACAGTTATTGAAATAATCAGTAATTACTGAACACTTGTTAATAACCACATTTGTAAAGTCATTTATATAATCAAGTCATTATCTAAAACATGTTACTAATGAAGACATATATGACATATCATACGAAGATATATACCTGAAAGGGAATAAAATATACTTAATTATATTCGGGGAAGCATAATACCTTTTAGTCTTACATGGAACAAATTTTTTTCAACTATCAAAAGTACAAATTTGTAACTATAAACCCAAAAAACACTTCTCATTTCTATTAAAAAGTCACTTTTACCCCTTACTTTTTCATACTCTACTTATCACATCATACTTTTTTACTAATAATTTATCTATCAAATCATACTTTTACCTATCACATCAAAGGACATTTTTGAAATTTCAATACTAAAATACACTCCTCTTAAATTCCTCTACAAAATCAAAACTCTCATGTTTTTCGAGACGGAGGGAGTAATATATTATACTTCCTCCGTTCCATAAAACCCTTCCTCTTTCATTTTTTTCCAATTTCCTAAACACTTCCATTTTCTATTAAAAAAATCACTTCTACCCCTACTTTTTTTCTACCATACCTATCACATCATATTTTTTTACTATTAACCAAACTATTACATCTTACTTTTACTCATCACATCAGGAGCAAAATTGAAAAGTCAACCAAAATTACACTTCTCTTATTTTGGCCCAAAGCCAAAATGGAAATGGTTTTAAGGAACGGTGGGAGTATTTTTTAAAAAAATATTACTCTTATACGGAGTACCATTATTTGAATATATAAAAAAATTAATAAATTCAGGATGAGACTTTAAATTTGAAACGAGTTTGTATTCATATTTTTTCGAGAACTAAATAATAAAAGACACAACAACAAAAAACACATCCCACAAATTGACGGAGGAAAGTCTGGCTGGAAAAAAAACATTTTCTTTTTTTCTTTTGTTATTTAATAAGCCGTAAATTCGCTGGTCCAACTTCTTCCTTTCCTTTCCCCATATATATATATACTTCGCTCTCAACCCGAAACCAGACCAAATTTCAAAACTCTCAAAAATAAATAAATAAATAAATAAAAATATTCCTTTTCCTCTCTGTTTCATCGTCTTATTATTCTATTCTAAGCTTTACAGAGATGGAGACGCCGAAAAACGCGGAGAGAAGTTGGGTCCGACAACGTTGCATCGGCAGAGGCTCCTTCGCCACCGTGAGTTTGGCCGTCAGCAAGGAGGACGGCCGCGTTTTTGCCGTGAAGTCCGCCGGCGGCGCCGGCGCCACCGCCTCCCGGATGGAATCGCTCGAGGATGAAATCCGGATTCTCCGGGCGCTTTCGTCGCCGTACGTCCTCAGGTACCTCGGGGACGACGAGACTTGGGAGCCGGCGCCGGTCAGGAATTTACACTTGGAGTACTTGCCAGGTGGCACCGTCGCTGACGTGGCGAAGCGGGGCGGCGACGAGGCGTTGGTCCGGAGCCACGCGCGGTGCGTGGCGGAGGCCCTGAGGTACGTTCACGCGCTTGGCATTGTGCATTGCGACGTCAAGGGCCAGAATGTGCTGGTGGTGGGCCACTCTTCCTCCGGGCTTGCCAAGCTGGCGGATTTCGGATCGGCGGTGGAGACGGGGAGTGATCGGACGGGTAAGATCTCGCCACGTGGCAGTCCGTTGTGGATGGCGCCGGAGGTCGTCCGCGGGGAGTACCAGGGGCCGGAGTCCGACGTGTGGTCCCTCGGGTGTACGGTCATCGAGATGCTCACCGGTAAGCCGCCGTGGGAGGACCGCGGCGCCGTCGACACGCTCCGCCGGATCGGGTACTCCGACGAGCTACCTCGGATCCCGGGCGAACTGTCGGAATCCGGCCGCGACTTCCTCGGAAAGTGCCTGCAGAGGGATTTCAAGAAGAGATGGAGCTGCGATCGGCTGCTGCGCCATCCATTTCTTTCGGTGGTCCCTCAACTACCGGAGTCTCCCGCCTTTTTTTCGTCGCCCCGCAGGGTGCTGGACTGGGTCGACTCGGACACGGACTCGGAGTCGAACTCAGCGAGTGGCACCGTAAACTTCTCGGCGAAGGAAAGGATCGGGAGGTTAGCTTCGGGGGCAAAAGGGTCAGATTGGGAAACCGATGGGTGGGTGGCCGTGAGGAGGGAGGGGGAAGGGGCAATTTCGGAATTTCAGAATTTGATTAGGACGGAGGGGCAAATCAGTCCGGAAAAATCTGATTCCGTGGGGATTGAAGAAGAGAGGACAAGTGGAAGCGAAGAACGTTCAAGTTCCGGAATTGACGGAGACGGCAGTATTCAAGGCGGCGAAGGGCCAAGCACGCCTTGGGTTTCGCCGGTGCTCCGCCCGGTGGCCGGCGGTGGTGGTGACGACAACCGCTTGTACATTTGTTTGAAATATGTAGTGTTCTTATTAATGACATTCTTAATTAATGTTTACCGATGTAATTATATGACTTTTATTCTATCAATTCTTCTTCAAAGTTACTCCGTATGTTCGTTCAGGTCCCAAATCCCATTTTATTAGACTCTTTCCATTGAATCGATTCTTTCAATTTTTGGTCATATTTTTTAATCTCTCCCTAAAATAAAATTTCAATTGGTCATATTTTTAGTCTATCCCTAAAAGAGAATAATTAAGATCTCTCTCTTTAAAACTCCCAGCTTAGTTTAGGAGAACATGGGTTAAATTAGTTACTGCAACTAGTCACGAGTGTCCCTTAGATTAGCACATCGCACCGTTTGATTTTTTTGATAGAATCTTGGAATGAATAGAAATAACTGCATTGGAGTATAAGAGACTTGGACTGAATCAAATTAAAAGATTGAATCCAAGTGATTATTTAGTTCAATTAAAAATTTATATATACTAATTATTTTCCTATTCAATTTTCTGATATGGGATAGATTCTGACACTTCCCCTCCATTAGATAACCGATCCATTTTGAATCTAACTGGTTGACCACTTATAAATAGATTCTCATCTTTTTTATTTTTTTGAGTGTCAACGCTAAACTTTCAAACGAGTAATCGCGTTAAATGGGTCACATGCTGTTGGAAACATACTCCAAACAGACAACTTGACTAAAGACAAACGGACTGCTAGAAAAGAACATCTAGATGAACACCTTGACAAATTAAGTGGACCAAAACCTGATCCGGTACTATGATAGAATTTAGGATTGGGTAGAGATAAATAGACGGGAGAAAAACCAAAATAGCACTCTTAGAGCACTAAAATACTCTAAATAGCAGTGCTATATGTTTTGTACATGTGATTCCGATTTTGACCTTTAATTAAATAGCAAATGCTCATTATGCACTGCCAAAAAATATGATTGTTTTGGGCAGTGTGGTTGTTCACTCGTAATTGTGTTGTGGGAAGTGTAGTTTTTTATATGTGAGTATTTAATGTGCCAGTGTAGAATGAATATATGTTGTTATATTTTACGGCAGTGTGTAAATGTATTATTGTGCTCCTTAATTTCATGTTGTAGTGTAATGTCCATTGATTTATGTGGCAGTGATTTCATGTATAAATTCTACACTGTCAAAAAGTGTATTACTATTTTCATGTATGAATTCCACACTGCCCAAAAAATGTATAGCTCTTTTTATGTATGAATTCCACACTATTTTCATGTATGAATTCCATACTACCAAAAATGTATATGACTGTTTTTTCATTTATGAATTCCACACTGCCCAAAAATGTATGACTAATTTCATGAATAATCTATTACACCAAAACACACCAACACATGGGCTTGGCTTTTTTTTGGTCTTTTTTAATTTTGTATAATGTTAGAAGATAGTATTAGACATATGTTCAACTTTATTTATGTGGTACTAAAAAAAATGGATAATGAAAGGTATTATGTTGTAAATTTTAAGACTTTGTAAGCAGCATACACTGCAACATTATGTAGAATTGTGCAACATAGCACACTGGCCAAAACATTGGACATAACACACTGTCAAAAAATATACCTAGATCACAAGCATTCCACACTGCCAAAAATCTTTGAGCTTACACTTCATATTTTGTTTATTAAAGTTATTCAAGCACAAGTCATTTTGGTGATTTTTTTATATCCGCTTCCAATAGAACTCAATGAATAATTTATTACATTGGGATTTTAGATATAAATCCCATTTGACCAAAACACACTAGGCAAACATGGTCATTGGACATTTCCAAAAGTGTAGCTAAAAGTTGATTATTCCACATTGTCAAAAAATATCAGCCCCTATTCAGTAACACGTTTCCATAACGAACTCTTGCATGTTCAAACCCAATAGTCGTAGAACGAAGTACATGGCTTTTGCACAATATGAAACTCAATTCGTAATTCATAACATTGGCAGTTTTATATGTATGTCTAATTTCACTACCATATTATCAATGGAAGCTAATGAAGTACATATAAATTTGTTTAGGCCGCGAACTTTTATACACTGACATATTTTCACTCTTGTCTGCTACATTATATATAGAAGACAAATTCACTACCAGAAAGTGTTTGCAGAACATGATCAATCTGTATTGCCAAAATATTTATAGCAACCATATTGAGCAACACATTTCATAACGATCTCTTTCATGGTAAAACCCTATTGTTATAAAATCAACCACAAGTTATTTGTACAATACAAAAGTCAAATAATAATTTATAACATTGGTAGTTTTATATGTAAGTCCCATTGTCACCACTTGTTTATAGAATTTTTTATGTAGTTTTTTTAATATATAATCCCTATTTTTTAATTATACACCAATTTTTACTTATATTCATTTGAAAATAACTTCAATCAAACATCGTAAATCGAATAAGAGCCCTATTTAGTGATGAAGGAAGTATTTATAATTGGCATATTTTTATGATATAATTTTGATATATCGTATTTTTATTATATATATTTATTTAAAACTACATTTAATTGATTGAAAAAAGAATTTGATAAAAAAGAGTACTATATATGCCACTATCCACAAAGTATACATTATGTGTGTCCGAATATGATATAAGAGTTGAAAGAGGAATTGAAACAATTGATAGTAGGATAGATAAAAAGGATTGACAACATAAAGGGTATGATTGGAAGAAATTGACAATATAAATAGCTAATTTGGTAAAAAACAATAAGTAGTGCTAAATGCGTAGTATTAGATGAGTTAGAGTGCTATGTAGGGTGATTTCTTTAAATAGACTGGACTACTCCCTCCGTCCCGGAGTATTCGTCCAGTTTTGACTTTTGGAACTATTCATCTAAGCACTTTGACTCATCAAATTCTCTCAATATGTAAGCCTAAATATAGTCATGTGTGATCTTGTTTGATTTGTCTTGACATATAGATTATTAATATATAATTTCTATAATTTTTTAATATACAAATTACAAGATAAAATGGATTAAAGAAGTGTATTGAATGGTGTCTAAAAATGAAAGTGGACAAATACTCTATGGGACGGAGGTAGTATAAGACACTTGAATGAATCACAAACTGCTCAAATTTTTTATATTTATTTATTTTAAACTCGATTTAATTTTTGATCAAATGGTGATACATTTAGACGAAAAGTAGTAATATTCAAAATTTATAAGGACTTTAATTGATATTTGATGGCATAGATAATTAAATTTGAAAAAACTTGACAATTAGCTTATAGAGATCCAAAAGTTCATTATAAAGAAATGAACTGAACATGGAATATGTTAAATATGGTAGATATATTTCTTATTCTATTTAGAATATCTTGTTTCCTTATTGACCTAGACTATACCTCCTCCCGTGTATGTATAAATACCCCCGTATATGATGAATGAGTTACCGAGTTCACAACACGTTATCAGCACGAAAAAGCTCAAACCCTAATTTTTTACTCTCTCCTATCCCCAATCGCCTTCGGATCTTCATCTCACTGTTTCGCCGCCATGGGCCGCCACGCCAGGATTACGTTTCTGCGAGCCTATGCAGCATCGGCGTCTTATCTCGGGTACCTGAACCCTGGCGGGCTGGCTCGGTTTAGAGATTCGCATATGAGTGCAAGGAATCACCCTGCAGTCGGTTCTCGTCCCCGGATCTATTCCCTCCACAATTCTCCGGCTGTCCCGACTCACATCGTGCCTTGCGGCGGTTTTTATCTGGTCTCCGATCTGGATCCGCGGCCCACAATGTCCTCAGAGGAAGAAACTCGTCGCTGCTAAGGTGGCGTTCTTCTCAATCTCCATCCCGACTAGCTTTGTCTAGCAGCCGCACGAATCGTTAGTTGACTCAGCGCCACAAATAGCTACAGCGCTCTGGTTGTGCATTGAGACCTCAATAGCCCTTGGTTTTTGAAGCCACGACCAGAACATCATATAATATCTCTTGATTACATTTTGGATACATGATCTGTTTCCTTCTAGCACGGTCCAGGTATTTCTAATTTTCTGAAAACTTCAAATTATTTAAAGATTGCATATTGAAATTGAATTCTGAGTGCATGTTATATACCCCGTATAGGATTATCAAGAAATTTGAACAATAACTGCAATCTAATTGTTATGATACTCCGTGGTTTATTTGGTTTGTTTTAAACAAACAACAATACAAATTCAGTATCATTTGATAAAATGGCTGCGAATGATAGTATAATGTTCAATTCATTGTGTCAGATTTCTCTACTACATTTTGATACTTAATCCTAAAATATATTTCTGTTGGATAAACAAAATGCATTTGAATATACAATTATGGATTATTTTCTTGGTTGGTGCTTGGGGCATGAAATTGTGCATTTTAATATTTGCCTATTTCAATGATGATAAAGGTGAATTTTACACTATATGTAAGTGCATATTTTATTATTTGATCTCAAATTTGGTTTTTCCCAAAGTAAATTGAAGAAATTGAACTTGTAATTCACCAATTTGCAGAAGTGTATTGGTCTAACGATTCATATTGAAATTAAATTGTTTTATTTAATTTTTTTTTGAGATGTCATCATATTTCACTTAGATATACTATTGGGTATTATCTGAAGGGTATTGGTCTAATTTTTTTTTTTGGTCTAATTTTTTTTTGAGATGTCATCATATTTCACTCAAATTGTTTTATTATTTGATCCCAAATGTGATAAATGCTTTTGTTGATTCGTATATAAGAAATACAAAGTACGAAGTATATGACATATAAAAGAGAACTTTAATCAAATTGTTAAATTCTATCCTCAAAGTAAATCAAATATTGATATCTATTCTGAAGTTCATAATCTCTCAAAGAGAATAACAAAATAGATATTTTTTTAGTCATGCATTATTTACCATTTTCCAGAAGTAAAATGGCCTAATGATTTTTTTAAAATAAATTGTTCAATGCACTTTATCCTCATGCAATGATATTATATTTTAATGTGATATACTAAGTTGCATTAAAATTTGTGTGATCAATATATGTAATTGCATTTTATATGTGGTTTGCGATTACAAAAGAGTGTTTGAGAATCTAATTTCCTCTAAAGTGCTAGCTAAAGAAAACAATTCATACACTCAATATATGGTTACATTTTTTTTTCCATTATTAGGAAAGATTTTTTTGAAAAAAAATCATGCTATATATTCATTTCCTGAAGTGAGTGAAAAAATTGATTGACCTGCATGAAAATAATAGGCTATCACAACTATTGCGGTTATGCATATGGGCACATTAAAGTCACTATTATGGTCACATAGAATTAATTTTTTTTTAAAAAAAAACATTGATTATCTGAATCTAAATATTCCTGAAGAATATTGAATTCTGAAAACAAATCATTAAGATGTATAATCTCCTAAATTAAATAAGAGTCATCATGTTCATCAAACACAATATATTGTATATGAGATACCTAAGGTCTTATAATATTTAATTACCACCTGAAGTGGCTTATTTTTAGTAAAGAAAAAAATCTCATCAATATTCCTGAAGAATGATGTATTAAATATATTATAATCAAAGGAGTGATTATACACATTATATTTTTTAGATGAAAGAGATTCTTCTCTTGTAATTAAAGAAGTTAGTGTAAATATAATTTTCTTGTTATACAAAACTTATAGATAGCTCCAGAAGAGCATTGCAGAATACGAGTTGCATAATAGAAGTAATAAAAGTCTCATAAATATTGAATATTTTGAGATAATAGTTATTGTCCTGCATTGACGAATATTCTATTGGGTATAGACAAATCCTTATTGTTTAAGGTGTCTCTATTAATGTTTAAGATACCGGTGGAAATGAATATTACATGACACTTGATCGAGATTTGTTTTCACGTAAACCAGAAGTTTACTCAACCAATTTTTATTTTAAACATAACCAATTAAATTATCACAATTTAGTTTGTGATGTGAAGAAAAAAAATCATTAAAAACTCAAGTGAGTACTATCTAAAGGACTAGAAGTTTCTGTTATTATTAGGA